ATAATAGTTTTTTTAGTACACTCTAGTTTTTGAACAGTATTTGTTAATAAACAATTCTGTAAATAACTTAATGTTATTAAATTGATATTAATTTTTTTAAATTTTAAATAAAAGCTAACTCTTTAAAATAGTTATAAAATAATATTTTTAAAAGAGGCGAATAGGAATCGGCCCCCCCCCCCCGCCAAATAAATAAATAATATCTTTTCGAAAGCTTTTTAAAAATTATATATATTATGCATTTATTTGTCTCAAAATAAACGCTTACAAAAACTTTGTGGAAAAATTTACGAAAATTATTGAAATCTAGTAGAATTATTCTGAAATGATTATCCATAGAGTGAATTTAGAAAACAGCTCGTTCTATTTGGGAGTCGAAAGGTTAAAATTCTTACAATTAAATATTGTTATGGTTGTTATAATGATAATTAAATTAGGATAAACACCAAATTCATTATTTTATACAAATTTTTCCATTTTTTGTGTGTCATAGCTTACTATTTCATTGCTATTATTATATATTCTTATTCTGTTATATAATTATAATAAACACGAGTGCAGAAGACTACAAAACAATATATAATATTAGTATAATTCAGATAAAATTTAGTATTAGATGTTGAATTTGACTATTTTTAGAATTTGAGATAACAGAATAATGCTTTGATAGTAAATTTTTGCAATGTACGTGATTAAGCTTCATATTTTAATTGCATTAAAGGATAAAAATGTTTATAAAGATGCATAATAATATATTATAATACAATATACTAAAATGATTTATCCTTTGTCATATTTTCCTCAATGCACAAAGTATATAATAAAAAAAAGATTCGTAGAAAGACAAAATTCTCACAAAATTGCAAACGACACAATTACATAAATACTTTAAAATTCTAATTTCCCTCAAATTCAATTATAATTCAAATGTTCATCAAATGTTACGTGAATTTCGCCTTAAATTTACAAATCGATTTAAATATGCAACAATGAAATAAGTTCTGTGAAAAATATAAACTTTTGCTAATTACAAATATAATCAATATTTTAATTACTAACATAAATATACTCAAGATAATATTTACAATAGATAAATAATATTTATTTATTCGCTATCATACATTTACTAATCGCATAGATTAATGGCCGAGTTTAATTTATTATAGTGTAAGTATCTTTTGTAAACTTTGTAATGTAATAATGATCAAGAAAAAAAACATAGTATTAGCTATTGATCACACTCTAACGTTGTTTTATGTATTTGGATATTTCTTGCACAAATAAATTCTTGAATCTTTTCGCAATACGTGTTTATTCTTTTGAATAAAAGGTATTCATAATAATAGGTAAGTATCAAACGTACGTTTTTTACAAATTAGACACAATTTTATTTATCTTAATGTGGTACACCTGAATTTCTCCATTATCACTTTTTTCTAAATATCAATTGTGTTACAGTGTTTCCTGTCTGTCCGCCAAATTGGAACGTATCCGTAAGAAGTTGACTATTGAGTTCAAAATCTGCGGACAATAATTGAGTTATGCATTCGAAGAGAGAGAGAGAGAGAGAGAGAGAGAGAGAGAGAGAGAGAGAGATCATCTTTGTAATATTCCAAAGATAATGATGTGAAAGCAATAATTTTATTTTATGAAAAAAAACACGTCTTCATTAACCAATCGAAGAAATCATAAATAAATGCACGCGCGTGATAATTGATAGAATATTATAATAAATTAAATAATACATAATAACAATTATATGACATATAATTAGTATTTCAACTAATATTTAATGATTTATATTTCAACTATTTAAAATATATGTATATCAACCTCGACTCAACACAGGTTATTTGGATTTGAAACGAAAATTTTTAGATGGTGCATAATCTGTACAATTAGTATTAGGTTGAAACAAAAATTCGTAGCGTTATTTATAACATATCAACATGTCTTATTAAAATTTAGCAATTATATCATTCGATAGAACAAAGTTTCAGCTTTAAGAATCCTTTTTAATTGCGGTACAATGATTTTTAAATAGAATTTGAACAATCAAAGTGCTTTTTTTATTTAAACCGTGATAATTAAAAAAAATATCTTAGGAAACTTAAAAAAAAAGTTTTGAAGGAAAAATTTTAAGCTTTTACAACAGAAAGATTATTATAGAAAGTCACAAATTTTCGCAAACTTTTTTGCACTCGACAGATCACAAAGTAAAATAAATTTCATATTTTGTCCAGTTCGTTGTTTTTTTTATATCAAAGTTTTCTATATGTAAAAGTTAATAAACTCACAGAAAAGACATAGTAATTTTTTAAAAGTAGAGATTTAGCTTTAAAACCTTTTTCTTTAATTTAAACTTCGTTCATTTTTAACGAAGTTACAACTGTTTGAATTTTAAAGTTCGTAGCACTACAAACTTTTTTTGTTCCATCCCAATACTATGTGAGACTTTAAATTGTAGATAAACAATTTAAACTTTCCTCTATCAATTGCTAAGATAGAAGTTCACTTACTTCAAATAAGATGCTTTAGAATTTAAGCGTAGTTGTCATAGCTGTAGTGTGTTGAGTTAAAATTTTTAATTAATAATTGTACTAACGACTAGCAAAATGCTTCAGCAATTCTTCTTTGGTCCAGTTACATGACGTCAAGACGAAATATCCTCCTGGCAAAAGAATGCGATATATATTTTCTATATATTTCTGTCTCTTTGCCATCGAATCTTCTGGATTTAGACTAATAGCGTCGTAAGTGCCTTTATCATGAACGACTTTAAAATCAAGCGGCAATGTGTTGTTGAGTATATCGCAAATCTCTATTTTTACATTCGGCAAATTGTTATCGTTCAACACTATACGAGCCAGATCTATCCCTTTCTGTGAATAATCCACCCCTGTCAAGTTTGCGAATCCTTCTTTCGCGAGTTCCACCAAAGTCATTGCATTACCGCATCCTACGTCGATTATCTTATCATTCTCTTTGTTTAAATCCAATTTCGTGGCAATCCATCTAAAAAATAATTTTCTTCATATCAATTCTAAAATTTTCGGAGCTATACGAGCAACAATTTTTATTTATTTTTATTTTCCTTTGTTCACTTTCAATATCTTAAAAAAATAACGGAGATTACATTTTATACCGATTAAGTTTTAGAAAAAATTAATCGCTTTTTTTAGTACGGAATTTTTCTCTACATATTAAATTAAAAATATTAATTGTTATCATATAAAAAATTTATTAATTTCACATACACATAATATTGCTTAAAGATTATAAAATTTTATATGATTATTAATCATTCTAATCATTTCGGATTACAAAAGAAATAAAAAAATTATAATAAACATTAAATCCCAGATATTTAGTAGTTTTAAATGCGTAACATATTTATTAATATTAAGAATTATCAAAGCAATCAAAATGACTGTGTGTGTTTTGTAAGAATTATTTAAATTTGTAATAGTACATTATGTTGTGATATGTAAATATGATTAATTTGATCAATTTGCTTTCCCTTCATCCGATTTTTCAGAAAAAATATAGAATATAGAAATAGTATAATACACTTAAATAATAGTAGAAATAGAGATAAATCGGTAATTTTAATATTAATTATATTAGAAAGAAAAAAATAATTGTTAATCAACAAAAAATCTATAAGTTTATTATTTCTAAATCTAGCTAACAATTATCCGCAGTAGAAAAGACTATCGCGAGACCGACGCCGCGGAGACCGAAACGTTATCGACGGAGAAGGCAAGACTCTGTCTCGCAGATGTCGCCAGCAGTGCCGCGCGAGGAACAGTCTCGATCGCGTCGCGGCTGTTTTCGTTTCCGCGGGAAAGCCCATTGATTTTCCGCGGTGCTATTTACTTGCGGTACGACACGAGACGCGTGTTCGCGTGCCGGACTGCCGGTGTTCCTGGCTTCGCTTACCGTACGACCTTGCGCGTGTTGGCCGCGCCGAACCATATCTCGCCTACGTCGCCGTGATCGTGGAAGTTGTCGAGCTCCTGCGTGTACGCGTTCTCCCAGCTGCGGCAAGAGCGGACAACAGAGGATCAGAAAAGCGGCGAGTGATGCACAACGGGTGTTGCGCAGTTACGGTACGTATTACTTACAATTCTAGAGTACCCAGCTCCGACGATGTCAACTCCTCGCCCGTTCGCTCTGTCATTATTCCACTGTGGTTCGTTCAAGTCTGACGTTCACGACAGTGCTGGTTAAAATGCCGATCCAATCGGGTCTGCAAACCACGAGAGATGCTCGGTGCCAAATTAAAAATCGAGTGATCGCGATCGATCGGTGAATTGCGTTGTCATAAAACAGTGAATTAATTGCGAATCATATAGGCTAATTTGACAAGCAGTATATTTATTTCATAAACCGGTTTAATAAAATCGTGGAACGCAGTACATCGTTGTTTCGAAATTTCACGACTGATGGCAGCACCGTTTAGATATTGTCGACAAATGCACGTTACTTTGCTAGTAAATAAATAAAATATGCGTTAAAAGTAACAAGTTAAAGAAAAATATTTGTATATGAATGAATTTTATGATCTTTTAGATTTTTAATGATTTTATTAAATATAATATTTTGACGCTGTCGTGTTGCATTCGTTCTATTAATATAGGTATTTTTGTTGCATGGCTAGTGTAGATGTTCATAGCGCTATCTGGTAGCCGTAATGCTAAATGCAAGCAAAGTGCCAATTTCCGAGGAGTTATCCACGTAGCAAAAAAAATTTTATGGTTTTTCGTGAATTTAGTAGACATTTATTTAAAAAATTTATTTCAGAAAAGAGATGCATTTGTCAAGGATCATACAATATAATATAAATATGATTGTGCAATAAATATGTAAAAGAAAAATCGAATACTTATACGTTTTACTGTTTGTTCAAATGATTTCTATTTGTTGAAACTATTATTATTTATTTGAGAAAGTCAGTTTTGTAGAATTAGAAATTTTGATTGATTTAATAAACCGTATCTGTTTATTTACTCGTTTTTATTTACTCGCGATTATTCATGTATTTATGTGTATCACGTCGAACCTAACCTAATCGTGGCGGTCAAACTTGATGTTATCTAACTGTATATACGTTTTACTGTCAATCTATCATCGTGATAGTGCACAATTCATTACGCTCGATAACCTCTACGTTGCAATTTTTAATTTTTCAGTCTGGATTATTAAGTGCCATTTTGACATGAGCATTAACAATCTGTTCACGAGCCTGTTATGTTTCGGTAAGTCATTAGACTTTGATACTTTAAATCACATTTCTATATAGAAACAATAAAGTAATCTTATTGAACAATGATAATGTTAGTGATAAATCATTTTTTTACCGCGCGTAGATTTAGAAAATGATTAGCCATGTTAATGTCGAGTTTAGAATATACCGCACTGTTAAAAATGGCATGTAATATTAATTAATGGACAACCCACACAAACCATGCAAATGCAGTTAGCTGCACTTTAATTTACTGTTAGCTTGTACTGAAGATGACTCAAAGATGAGTCGAAACATCTAATTTTGTATTCAACGTCTTTTTGTGATATTTGTAATAAATACGATATATATTTCGCAATGTTAACTGCGCTGACTCCCACAGCCCTTCTTTCACATTTTTTTATTTAACATTAATTACTTTTTATTTATGAGCTTTTTTTAACATAATAAATTTTTAATTTATAAATTTCATGAAAGGATATATTACTCTAAGTTATGGTTTGTGCAGTTTTTCTGGCCTGTCAAGTGGCGTTTTACATTTAACTTCATATTTGTAATTTTAATTTGCCTCCGAAATTTTTCTATGTACAGTTATTAAAGAAATATCAATATGTAATTATAATATAATTTTGTATAGGACGACAATGCACGAAATCTTCTGCTGTAGTAAGGTGCTACGCTTCTGTTGCTGCAAATCCAGTAGACAAAGACAATATAAAACCAAAAACTGGTATATTAATGTTAAATATGGGTGGCCCTACCAATACCGATCAAGTCCATGAATATTTATTAAGAATAATGACTGATCGTGATATGATTCAACTTCCAGTTCAAAGGTTTTAATCTGAATCTTATAGAGTTTATATGCATAGTACGAAAGGGAGTATTATGTAGGAGATATCTTTTATAGAAATATGTTGCAGTAAATTAGGTCCTTGGATAGCCAAACGTCGTACTCCAGAAGTACAGAAAAAGTATTCTGAGATTGGTGGCGGATCGCCAATACTACGATGGACGAATAAACAGGGCGAACTTTTATGCAAAAAACTGGATAAAATTTCGCCTGAAACTGCACCTCATAAGTATTATGTTGCCTTTCGATACGCAGATCCTCTCACAGAAGATACCCTTGAGAGGATACACAAGTACGGTTATCATATTTTCTTAGGTGTAATATAATCTAAACATGTAAACATGATTGTAGAAAGATGAAGGTAATTTGAATGAGTTGTGCTTTTTTTTTCAGCGATGGAGTACAACATACTGTACTTTTTTCTCAATATCCTCAATATAGTTGTTCAACTTCAGGTTCCAGTTTTAATGCTATATACAATTATTACAAAACTAGGTGATTATTATATTTTTAATGTACTTTTAGCTTAGATACGATAATCATTAATTATATAGATCGATATGAAAGATTAATTAATTATGGCTCTCTTTATTCATTTATATTTGATTTTATTATCTATTTTTCACATATTTATTATAAGCAGATGCGCTAAATTGGAGATGCGGCAAATATTGTATTATTTCGTACATGTATGTTTGCTGTACACACAGACAATATTTACATTATATGTAAATTAAATTATTGCTTGTTGTTTCAATATAGGATATAATAAATAAGAATAAATAGAAAATAGAATGTTAAAATGCATACACACGAAACAAGTCAAAATTGTTTTATAGAGAGTCACCAAATGGCATGAAATGGAGCATAATCGATAGATGGGCTACGCATCCACTTCTTGTAAAAACATTTGTCGAAAGAATTAAAGAGGAACTTGCACAATTTCCTAGCGAAAAAAGAGACGATGTGATAATTTTATTTTCAGCTCATTCTTTACCATTACAGGTTGTTATCTTGAATTAATGCGTTTTATGTAATCACTTAAGAAATTAGTCTGATTTATCTTTTCCTGTAATTACTTTAGGTTGTAAACAGAGGAGATTCTTATCCCGCAGAAGTTGGAGCCACAGTTGCATTAGTAATGCAGGAATTAAATTACTGTAATCCATACAGCTTGGTATGGCAATCAAAGGTATATACATAAATATATGTGCTGCTTAAAATTTAGCGAACTTTAGATAGCTTAGAGAATGTTTTGGGTTTAGTATATGCATTACAGAGTATATATATTTAGGTTGGACCTACATCGTGGCTAGGACCTTTTACCGATGAAGCGTTAAAGGGTTACGTTAAACAGGGCAAGAAAAGTTTTATTTTGGTACCAATTGCATTTGTAAATGAGCATATTGAAACTCTTCACGAATTGGATATAGAATATTGCCGAGAACTTGCCGAAGAAGTAAGAAATGCTGCAGTCTACTTATTGTTTAATGTGATAAACAAAGACTATTTTATGTTTCATTTTTCTAGCTTGGTATTGAGACGATACGAAGAGCTGCTGCACCGAATGATCATCCTATTTTCATCGACGCTTTGACGGATATTGTTGTGTCTCGTCTTAGATCAAAACAATCTGTAAATCCTAAATTTTTAATACGGTGTCCTCATTGTGTAAATTTAAATTGTGATGCTAGCAAAAAATGGTATGCTAAAATCTGTAAAAATTAATATTTGCAATTACGCGCGCGCGAAATCATAATCATAAATATTATATTATGTTTAAGTATGAATAATAATTATTTGTATAATTTGCTGTATTAATTATACGTAATGTTACGTAATGGTTTGTTAATAATTGAGTGAAAATGAAATAGATCTAATCGAATATAAATATGTACTATATTTGGATACATTATATATGGAAACCGTGTAATAATATCGAATAAATTAAGATACTTGTTTCATTTCGTAAATCCTTCGCAAAATTCCCTTAGAATTCAATAGCTAAAGCAGCTTTGTTAACAAAGTTTTTATTTTTTTTTTTTATGGACACTACTAAAATAGTTCTCATTTATCTCTTCGCTCTCGATATAATCCAGGATAACTGACGTATTATTGGCTTTTAAGTAAATACAATATCTAGCTCTTGTCAATAATATAGCTTTAATCTTTATTGTTCGATATACTCTGTTTGAATTTGCGCGCGTTCGATGTTTACTTTTTCAACGAGGTAAAAATTACAGTCGTACATCAGGTGCTGCATCAATGATCTCGATGTTACGTTTCTCTTTTGCTTGCTTATTGGCTTTGTCTTGTAAAAACATTGCGACAATCAGACCGTAATAATTCTATTATTACCATACAAGAAAATTACTGCACGTCCAGCTTGATAGATAGGACCGTAATAATCTTATTATTACTATACAAGAAAATTACTGTATTTTACATATCAAGTTTAATAAGTTTATTTAACTATATGTTTGCTTATAAGATGGTTATGATTTTGCGTATATTTTGTCTGTAAAGATTTTTTGCATTTACACATATAAATTTTATTGATAAAACTATTGAAATTTTACCAATCTATAATGCTTGAAACCTTGGAAGAACTCGAGAGGATAATTATATTAGGTATATATATTTTAATAAATATATACTTATCTATATATATATATATATATAATTAAATAGTTTGATAATTGAATGGTTTAAATAATTTTTCGGTTTTCTCTCACTTAAATCTATTTCAATGATATTTTGTTAATCTCATAATAAAGTTATCGACGAAAGAATATTATTTGCATTATTTATAAGAACTCTCTTCTTCGGTGGTTAAAGATGAACATTTAGGCGTAAAAAGAAATTTTATTGTGTGTATGTACAGCCCGAGATCTCAGAATTGACTATTCACTCGAGGCTTCGTCAATCTTGTCATTTACAAAGGATGTGTTATCACTAATATCATTTCGACTTCTGTGACATAATTTTTAATACAGTCTTTAATTGCATATACAAAAAAGACATTCAGATTTCTTTCGAAATAATGTACTAAATCGGTCAGAGATTATTACAGTGGATTTCAGCATACTTAAAATGGAATTTATTAATTTTTATTAAATTTTTAAGTTTTTGCTGTAAAAATTTCTTGAATTATCTATATATTTATTTCATTTCTTTTTTATTTTATATTGTATGTCATTCGGCATATAATATTTATTCAAATGTATTCAGTGTAAATCGTTCTGACGTATAAATACTGAATATTAGATTTAAAAAAAACTCCCATTTTTCTTGCATTTCTAAACGTAAATTTTAAATATGATTGGTAAGGACTACAAAAAAAATTTCTTAACTTCTTTCCAATCGTGGAAATAAATAATAAGGATCAAATTTCTTGTTACATCAAGATGGGTATCACAAACAACGATACTACAGTAAAGACCAAGTTACATTAAAGGATGAAATTAGTTAATTAGAATCAGTGATTATTATTATTTCGTTTTAATTGTTGATCATAGATAGAGAAGAAAGCAAATTAATATCATGCTAATATTACTTTCAACCGTATAAAATATAAATTAATCTTTCAAAATATTTAATGCGATATCTGCAAGTTTTTCTTTATTGAATGATTCTTTTAAACATCGTAATATGTTATTTCATATTAATTATTTCATATTAAGTATTATGTTATAAAAATTCACAATATATATTTTTATTTCAAAAGACTTATGACATCTAGCTATACTTAAGGCTCCTGACTAGTCGCGGCGGCCATGTTGGAATCGTGACGTCAGAAGCGAGGAATGACACGTTAATTTATCTTGCGTGCCATTTTTAAATAAAGACAATTTGGATGAAATGAAATGACGCGATCGCTTCAAAACACTTGTAAAAATGGAACAACACTGTCCTTTCTTCCCTTGACAGTCAGTAAATGATTGTAAAAGGCACGTAAAGTGAGCCTATATTCGGGCAGAAACACACGGCTGTTGAAACGAGTACAATATACACTTTTATACATAAAATTTCAAGTTAACTTTAGTTTTGTTCAATAATTACAACTTTGATAAGTACGAGACAAATCACATTTTCACAATTAAGCAAATAATAACGAAATGGCACGCAAGATACATTTCGTTGTCAAAATCGTCACTTTTCACGCCTATTGGTTCAGCCTTTTATCGTGACGAAGTGCTGTAACACACACGCTCGCAGGCGAGCACACGGACATGGGCTCGTGCTTAAGTGTGTGGGCTACCGATTTCGCCAGACCGCCGTCTGATTCTGTGTCGCCACCGTCAACACAGAGTTCTTGGCTGAGTAGTCAGGAGCCATTCTCAAATATAAAAACCGATAAATACTAACAAGATTATAGATAAAAAACATCAGTTCAATCTTAAAATGTACTTTTATTTAATTTTTGGCATTCATTTGTTGAACCGTTACTGTTTTTGTTATTAACACACTTCTTTCTATTGGCAGTTATATTGAGGAATATTTTAATAATTCTTGTAAAAACGTGGAGCATCGAGTTGCTCTACGTCTACATTTTGTTTCGAATAGACATTTTATAATAGAAAAATGTTTATTATAAAGATTAATATATGTATATAGTTGTTCTAAAGTTATTTAGTTGTTTATCGAGATATATAATATGCTCAATATTTTTTATGAAAATTCTGTAGCTATATCTATATATTATATATATCTCGTTAATGAAAAGAATAATTATGATTTAAATCGTTTTCTAGTTATTACAGGGATGTCCAAATGAATGAATAATTACGAAAAATATATTTGTTATATTGATGAAATGATGAAAATATGACATTTTTTTATACATATAAAATGATGAAAATATAATAATTTTGATATTATGATTTATTTGCCAGTATTTTCTTCGTCGTGAAAACTTAAATCCCCTCGATGAACCAATCATATGAATAAAAATGGAGCAAGTTCCATACGCAAATGATAGTATTTCGTTTTAAAATAAAAAGCATATATTTAAAGCATATTCTACATTTCATACACGAAAATGTTGCTTTCTATTCCTTCTAATGATGATACGTTATTATATACGTATTACATCTCGTACACATGCAAATATTATAAGATACATATTATAAGATACAAATACGTAACACTTTTTATTTAAATAATTCAATTTTAAACAAACATATTAACATCTTTTTACTTCAACTTTTTACAGTATTTGCTTCAACAAAAGGGTGGAAGGCAGTCTCTCTCTCTCTCTCTCTCTCTCTCTCTCTCTCTCTCTTGTATCTCTTGTCTTTCACTCCCATTAGTCTATTCATTATTAAAGAGCGAATAAAAGCGCTATTGTCGCATTAATCCCCACATACATCATGAGGAAATCGGCTTCTGTCAAATTGATTAAATTTTTAATATGTGGTTGTTTTTATGATTCCGATCAAGTCTCAACGCGTGATCCCAGAAAAGCTCAATTTTTACGATTACGAAGCACTAAATTGCTCAAAATCGCGTATTTGATAGAAAATTTATTTTTCGTACTTTTTTTAGATTTTTCCTACAACTTGTTTCTGATCTTCTTAACAAAGCAATACCTAAAGGAGCTTAGTCTAAAAAAGATAAATTAATAGTTTTTTAATAATCTGTATTATAATAACTATAATAATAATAATAATTATATTAATTATTATTAAATCCCGTTATATATTATATTATACATAAATCATTAATTAGTAACCATAAAAGTTATGCTTTTCTGAGGTCATTGAGACTTTTAATTAGTATAAAAACAATCACATATAAAAAATTTAGCCAATTTGACAGAAGCCGGTTTTTTCTTCTATCAAAGAAGTATGGGGAGTTCTTTAAAGATATTTTTTGATGTTGACGCTCGACGCTCATTTTTAGCGTTAAAACAGACCACGTGATCAAAATTAACACTTGATGAATCAGCTTTCACTACTTATTTTATAGACGGATTGGAAATTGAACCTGGGGATCAAGAAGAAGAAAAAGACCTATTTTACCGATAAAAATGAACTGGTCGAGCGCGCGTCAGCATTAAATTGTACCTTAAGCTTGCCTCAGCAACAACAAGCTCTTCGATTTCTTCGCAGGTTCTTTACGACGAGGGGTTTATCCCAGCGACAGCGTCGTCGTCGTTGTCGCTGCTGCCGCCACCACCGCCGTCGTCGGAGTGCCGCCTCCACTACCACCACCACCACCACCGCCACCACCGCTGCCGCCGTCGCCGCGCTCCGGGTATCGAACGTGAGTCGCGCGGCGCTGCTTGCCGCCGCGCCGGCACCGACCATATAAATGCGCGGCGCCGGCGGGCGCGCTCAGTATGTGTCATGCTTTGCGATCGAGCGTGTTGTCCGTGATGGCGGCCCGAGTGCGGTTGAAGATGCGCCGCGGCACCGGCGTGTCGCCGCTCGCCGTTCTCCTCGCGATGTGCGCTGTGTTGGGTCCTGCCAGTGGGATGTTCGAGCACCGACACTGCAATCACCAGCATCCACGGGCACACGAGGTAAGTGCCATGCATTCACGAGCACCGCGGTGAACGATTCTAACCTCTTTCCTCGCTCCTTCGTTCCGCGCTTACGTCGTTTACTCCTTGTTCTCCTTTCGCTGCCTACGCGCGTACACGCTCTACATTTTCTATCTCACGATCGTCTCTAATCTTTGTAGTAATATTTCTCGTCCATCGATTGTATTTCTCTATTTACTGTCTGCACGAACGAGTTTT